TCCCTCTCGTCTCACCCCTGTGATTCTGTCTGCCGATCGGTGACCTACGCTAGCCCTGGGACTATTCTTGTGTTTTGCCTGCCATATTCCTGTTTGCCATCGATCGACCCTGCCAGTGTATGACCACTTCTCTTGTGAAATAAAGCTTGCACATGGATCCGCACGCCTCTCGTCTCGTCAGCCCTGTTACATCTTGCTTGGACAACATTTTCACTGGCCCCACCACAAATTAATGATTTTTTTAAATATATATTTGCTAGAAATACCTTTATTTATATGTACACTACCATGTACAAATGAAAGACATTACTGTAATATTTTATTTAGCAAGGAAAGTCTTAAATTGACAGTAAAGACAATTCTAATGTTCCAAAATATTTTTATTTCAAATAATGTTTATTTTGACTTTTTATTTATCAAAGAATCCTAAAAAATTTCTGTTAAAAATGAGCTATGCTCTAAACAATGCTCTAAACAAATGTTTTCAACATTATAATATTAAGAAATGTTTTTGAGCACCAAATCAGAATATTAGAATGATTTTTGGAGAATCATGTGACACTGAAGACTGGGATAATGATGTTGAAAATTCAGCTTTGTATCATAGAAATAAATTACTTCTTAATTGGATGGATGGATGGATGGATGGATGGATGGATGGATGGATGGATGGATGGATAGATGGATAGATAGATGGATGGATAGATGGATAGATAGATCTGTCTTTCCTTTGCTGGAAAACAATGTCATAAAATTACTCTTTGGTTTATAGTTTTCAACATATTCTTACTGATTCTACTTTCAAGATAATCCCAATGAATAAAAATGGATGCACAAGATCAATAAAGTTAAAATTATTTTTCAATGATTTTTCTGTCAACCTATTGGTGAGCCCTGAATGTGTGTTCATGGACCAAATGTCCAAAAGTGTGAATATTCACTTACAGGAAAATTACTAATCAAATGAATTGTCATGTTCCAAGCAGCTTAATATGTATTTGATATCTCCACAAGATTTGTGTCAATTGTAACTTCTAAAAAGCCTTTACATCAGTTTGTTTTTCATATGCTCTTCCACAATCCTCAACCCTCATCCCCCTTTTCACCCTCAAATGGAAAAGAGGATGGAAAAAAAAACAACAACAACCTCTACTTCCTGTGAAACTGTTGGTCGCACCTCTGACTGCACTGACGGGGGAGAGTAAAGCCATTAAAATGACACGGAGACAGCTCGGGGGGGACACTTCAAAGGGTCTGGAAAAAGCTGGAAAACTGAGCAGCGCAACCTCCTCATCCACCCTCCGGCGGGAAAGAGAGGAGAAAAAAACACAAAGCCGACAAGCATGCGCCGCATGGTCAACACAAGCACCCAGAGACTCCCGCGCTCTCCTCTCGGCCTCCCCCCAGACCCAAACACAGACTCGTCCCCCGCGACTACACGTCCAATGATTACACTATTCCCGCTCTCGCGCTCAGAGGGGCTAATTAATGCTTTAATATGCAAATGAGTGCCACAGTAAATTACACAGCTGGCAAATATGCCTGTTTTGCCCCCAAAACTACATCAGGAAATGAGCAAGACTGCGTGTGGATTGTGAATACAAAGAGACAGAAGGTTTATTTCGAAACTGCAAAGACAATTTCACCTCAAAGTTTTAATGGCGCAAGGGTAAAAGTTTATGAAGAGTCTCTATCTGCAAGATCTGAACAGGTTTATTTAGATTAGTTAATTAGACGCCACATTTAATTTAACACAATGAAAAAAAGGCTGTGAGGGAAGCAGATATAGTCCGATCAGTATGTTGTACAGTTGACAAAATATTATATATATATATATATATATGTGTTGTGAATATTAGATGTGACCTACAGTAGGACCTAATTTTTTTTACAAAATAGTGCACTTCACAACCTCATGTTTGTTCACATGATGTTAAATACAGTGTCTAGTAAGTATACAGTGTAAGCAGACTGGCTTCTACAACAAGATATTGGTGACAAGTGCTATTTTTTCCATGACAGTGAGAGCAGATGCAAAGAAACAGAGAGATGTGAGAGTGTGATTTGGTTTAGCTTTGATAAACATATGACACTTGACTGCTTTGCTATATACGGCTGTCGTTTTCATGCCCTACAACCATGTGAAGTTGATGGGAGAAGATTCTGTGAAAGTATCACTAAAATATGGAACTTGTTACTCACAAATTCCACTTCTCTAATTAAAGTATAAGGCCATATGGAACTTTAAATATATTTTTTTGCAGTCACTGGAGAGATAAAAACAGAAAAAAATATGAAGCTGTGGTGCACAGGTAGCACTTGCAATGCATAGGAACTTTGAGTTTTATATTTATTCAAAATAATAGCATAAAAAGCACATAAATACAAATTAAAATTAAATTAGACATAGGAGCGGAAGAAAACAATGAAGAGACAAGCTCCTAGAGGCACAAATCACATATTTAGATACATTTATCTATATTAGATCAACTACTATTTCACATAAAATTAGGAAAATAGCTAGTTTATACATATCAAATGTCTGTTTTGCCCCCTTACAATTTTGTCCCAATTGTATACAACAATTGAAATCATAGAACATCATAATTTTGACAAACTGTGGAACTGATATTCAATTAATTGCAGTAACTATTTTAATTATTAATGTTTTTAATTATTAATCTTAATTGCCAAAAATGCATGTCACAGATCTTGCATATGTACAACCCTATTACTACATGACTACATGAAGACCCCCATTAAAGCATTTTTTAAAGAATACATGCTTTTATATAAGTTATAAGAAGTATAAATTAGGAAATAACTACAAACCATTTTTTAATCCAACCAACATTTTTAGTTTTTGATTTTGAATTGAAAATTCTTACCGACTCAAAACTTTTGACTGGTAGTGTATATAGATTATTTTATTTTATTTTATTTTTTACAACATTATTCACTTTTGTATTTTTTTTTATTCCATAAATACATTAATACACCTTTGCTGAAAACCAATGGCATATAAACTAGCATTTTTAAAAAAAATCAATTTTGTTTTTAATTTTGAATTGAAAACAGCAATGTAGTGCAATAGGATGAAGCCATGTAAATATTTACAAAAGTATCAGTAAGTTAAAAAACTGAGCTTTCTTTAAGAGTGCACGTGCGTGTGTGTGTGTGTGTGTGTGCAGCAACCTGACTGTGCCATGCACAACAACAGTGACATTGAGCAAACAGCAAAGGAAATAATATGATGTCATTGTTGTACATCAGTCTTAAATGTACTGTACATAGCTCACCCCAATATATTTTTTCCATGTTCAAAATGTTGATAAAAAGATAAGACAAATGTTTTAGGTGAAATAAAAAGACAAAAATGAGGCAACTGTTGGCACACACTAAAAGTATACAGCTCAGGTCTTGGAAGAATTTGATGCGAATTGTTGTGTAAAGTTTGACCTTAACTAAGAGTACAAGCACCTTGCTAAAGAGATGGATAACATGGTCCCAAATCTCTGAACTTCCTAAGACTCCCACAATGAATATTTTAGATAAGTAAATAATTAAAAATTAACACCAAACAGGCCACTGATCAAATAGATTTGGGCTTCAACAGACACACCAAATCAGATGCTGTAAACAAAGACCCAAGGACCTACATTCCCTCCCTACCACCTTCCTCTCGTTTAAATATGCGCATGTAAAATCGCGCCACGCACACACGCACACATCCGCATATGCTTTTCTTCTGAAGAATGACATTTTCGCTTTTCTCAGTCCCAGGGAATTTTACGAAACTGAATCAGAACACTTGATCTGACCACCCGCTGATTTCTGATGGAAAGATTTGCTTTTTAATACAATCGTCAGTCGTTCTGCCACGTTGTGCCTGGCCCAGACAAATCCCAGCAGTGTGTCTTCTTGTACTGCCACAGTACTGAAATGTCTCATTCTCCATCGGTTAAATACCACCCTGCTGTAATCTATCACGGTGGAAATGGTAAGAACATCGTCCTCTGTTTCAGCTGAGCTTAAATATGACACATTTATACACATTTAAGACAGATGGCGTGTTTTCAGGCCGTTTATCGATGAAAATATATTTCGAGGTGCAGCTGATTGACGGGGTAAAAACATCAGGCTCCAAACAAATGACTGATATAAAAAAATAAAACAATCCGTTTCTAGCATTAGAATCTTTTTTAAAGAGAGCATTATGTCCTTTCATGATTTTAATTAATGCTTTAATGTGCAAATAAGATATAAAGTAGATAAAATCCTGACAAACAGATGGCAAACTTTCTCTGTTCTGGCATGTTCTTAAGTTGCGGCATCATTTTTTCAAGGTTTTTGCAACAAAGTGTGAAGCAGCAGCTCTAAGAGATCAGCAACATCTCGTATCTTTGACGGGAACTTCTGTCTTGAGTCAAACTTGGTTAATATTGGAACATGCTATGGCAATGAGTTTACCTGAACAACTTTACAATATTAATTGTGATAGCAAAATCCATCACAAGACCTGGGCTGACAAGACGAAGCCCCCCAATTTTGTGTGTAAAGAAAGGAAATTCAATTTGACTATTATTTTTGGATCATCAATAAACACAATACAAAAGAATACAAAAATATTTGGTAACACTATTCCTGTACACCTCTAAACAATAATATTTCTCACAATGTTTCCATACTTTTTGACCACTGAACCAAATGACTTTGATTTTCACTTGGCAGGTACTAATCTATAGATTTATAAATATAGATTTAAACATCTATAGTAATTAGCGCAAAAATGTCTCCAATAAGACCCTCAACAGACAGAAAAATGCATATACACAACCTTTTCCCATGATTTTTAAAATGTAATTTTTTTTTTCATGATATTCCAGGCCTGAAAACTACATTTAAAAAAATATTGATATTTCCAGGCAGACCCAAGGACCATCTGCATGCAGAATTACTGTTCTAAATATAATCAGGACGAGGTAAAGCTGACAACTGACCTTTTCCTCTTTCAGATGTTGGTCCAGATCCAGTCTGATGAGTGAACGGTTGATCTTTAGGGCCAACAACAGAGCCATGAGGCCCCCAGCAAGCACTTGGTTCTGCCGTACATCCAACCGCTGGATCTGTGGACTCTCTGCAAGGATCTCAGCCAAAGTCACAGCACCTAGCACGGTGAGTAGAAAACATAGGCTTAGTTATTATAAGGTAAAACAGAAATGCATCCCAGTAAAAAAAGGAAATTTAGAAGGAGAGGATGTACCAAAGAAGCAGAAAAGCAATATTACGAACCCTACCCTCGCATGTTATTCCTGTGGAAGCTAGGCCAAGTTGCAATAAAGAGCGATTGATCATGAGGGACTCCTTTAACGTGTGAAGGCCTCTGTTCTCAAGGTTGTTTTTGCCAGGGTTCAACGTTTCGAGCGTTTTTAAGCGGGGCTGGGAAAAAAAAGAAGAAAAACAGGATGTTTAAGAAAACGTGCCCTGATGAGCTTGTTTTTAAATCACTTTTTGTCATTCAAAGGTGTCCTTTTTCTGTGCATTTGAATCCAATTATGGATAGTGAATTTGTGTCACTTTGAGAGCTTTAAGTGTCACACGCTGCGCCGTGGCAATAGATTGGCTCTCAAGAGCATATTAGCCGCGTCATTTATGAAGCACGATTAGCAGCCATATAAAGCAGGAGATAGTGGAGCACATGAGGGAAAAGCCATGTTGCATAACAGAACGTACACCATGCCAACTCATTATCCTCACTTAGTCTCCTGCTTTAAATGAAAAAACCACAGACAGCTAAAAAAAACAAGCTCAGAGATCAACTCACAGTTCATTTGCGTCACTGTTACAACACTCAAGCATGTAAACACCCACACATAGGGAAAGCGGGGCACAGTGTAACACTTTTTGACTTTCTCAGTTTGTGTAAATCCACATGGGGTTCAGAATATAATTTTTTATCCACAATAATTTCACACTTGTCCAGTACAAATATGTCGCTTTGTTGCATAATTACAGTGTATACGTTTTTTTTTATTTACCCTCAAATAATGGAAGTGAAATGTGACAACATGCCCCATAGGTGGGGTACATTGTAACATCTGAGGGGCACATTGTAACATGACTGTATGACAGCTTAAAACGTTATCTGATCTCATGAAAAAAATATACAAGACAAATGAAAATATTTTGTCAATAAAATAAAATATATATATATTTTTTTTATAAAATAATGGCGTTTTTTAAGAATGAAAAATAATCTGATTTTGGAGTTTGACAATGAACACATTGCAACCAGGCTTGGGATGGCCCACAAAAACGAGCCAAAATGCTTTTCATGTCTTGAAATAATAATTTCTGAACATTAAACATTGACTGTAAGCCACTTGTTTCTCGTAGTTTCTCGTTAAAATTCATTAAAGTAAATAGTGTAAATTACATTGCTAATGTCATAGAATAGCATAGTTTAATAATAGCGGGGCACATTGTAATGCAGTGTTACAACGTGCCCCATCGGCGCAACTGGAATTTAAAACTGGTTAGTGTCTTCTGCTAGTTATTGAAGCATTGAAAACTATCTAAACTGATAAATAACAGATTGGAGAATAAAATAATAGCAGAGTTGTCTCATTTTAAATGAATAATAAAAACTGAGATGAAAAATTTACTTTAATTTTACTATGGTAAAATAAAATGTTCAGCTATATCTTCAAAATACTTTTGAATTTTTGTGCACTTTTTTTCTCTATGTAATGTTGATATGGTAACTAGTAAATACTGTAAATTTGGTTATGCTAGCATGTGTGGAAATATTTAAACCACGTGTGTTACAACTAACCCCGCGTTACTTTGTGCCCTGCGCTCCCCTACATACGCATACATTATCAGTATATGAATACAAAACCAACAAGCCAGTCAAAGATTCAGAGAAAGAAGAAAGAAAGATACAATGTCGTTGAAATGTCCTTTCAAATGTAAAACACTTTCAGAAATCAACATAATTTATAATTTTCATATATTGGTTTTAATTAAGCTATCAGGTATATTTTTTACCTGTAAATATACTAATACGCTAATACAAACTTATTTTATTTCACCCAAAAAATACAATTCTACCATTTACCCACCTTCCTGTTCAAATCTCTATCATTTTATTTTATTTTATTTTATTTTATTATTGGAAAGAAGATATTCTGAGAAATGTCTTGGTGTTTTTTCCTATACAATGAAAGTCTGGTCTGGTTACCAACATTCTTCAAAATATATATTTTTTATGTTCCATAAAATAAATTCCTACAGGTTTGGAACAACACGAGAGTGAGAAAATTATGACATATATGATGATGTAGATAGATGGTGATTTCAAACAGCCTCTTGCCATTTTTGTGAGTAATATACAGCATTGGGTGAATGAACAGACAGCGTGCTGTCGAGTAACCCTGTTTTGAGAGTGACTTGTCTGAATGTGTCTGTGTCCTTTCTGCTGACCAGATTACCAGCGGCTGATGACGGTAGCGGAGAGCATCACAGCTTTAATGTTCCCCTTCCAATGGCAGCATGTGTACGTGCCCATCCTGCCTGCTTCACTGCTCCACTTCCTGGACGCTCCTGTGCCCTACCTCATGGGTCTGCACTCCAACGGCCAGGATGACCGCACCAAGCTGGAACTTCCCCAAGAGGTGCGTGACACACACTCGCTCCCAGAGAACCGACTCATCCTGCGATTCGGTACAGGATGATGCCATGTGGTTTTATTAAAGAATTAGTGCTGCAGCCTTATAGGTGGTGATCAT